CTTGTTGAAGCACCTTTAATCTCTGCATACTAACAGTGACTCTAGTCTTTTTTTTTTTCCATTTCTCCCATCTTTGGCATCTATGACCCATTTGACCTCATTTCAAAATCTTAGCTCCTCAAATGTGAAATCTGTTCTCTCTCTCTTCACATATACATATACACACTCTTCAGGTCTCCTAGAATTGTTGAGACTTAACTACAATTTTTTCCTTAAATAATTTGTTTATCAAAGACATATCTTGTATAATAAGTTACATTAATTTGCTATGTAATATAAAAATGTAAATGTTGATTTAATTGAAATAAAATAATTATTCAATATAATAAAATTGATAATTTCATTATCATTTAGATAATAACACATATGGTCTATAAATTACTAAATTATTGCCAATAATAAACGTAAGATATAGATATATAGTCGATATTCATTACACGCAGATTCTCATTATTTGTGAATTTGCCTAATTGTTAAAATTTGTTTGTAACCCTAACACTTTCATAGTTAGTTGTGAACACATAGAGGGCCACAAAAATGTGGGCTGCCTGACATTCACATATCCTGTTACAGGTGAACATGGAAACACTGTTTTGTTTTGTTTTCTTCTTTTTTTTCTTTGAGACAGAGTTTCGCTCTTGTTTCCCAGGCTGGAGTGCAATGGCACAATCTCGGCTCACCGCAACCTCCGCCTCCTGAGTTCAAGCAATTCTCCTGCCTCAGCCTCCCAAGTAGTTGGGACTACAGGCGCGCACCTCCATGCCCAGCTAATTTTTGTATTTTTAGTAGAGATGGGGTTTCACCATGTTGACCAGGATGGTCTCGATCTCTTGACCTCGTGATCCACCCGCCTCAGCCTCCCAAGGTGTGTTTTCTTGTTTCAGCTCTCATACTATAGACAAATGTCTCATTTGTGGTCTATTACATGCCAGATTTTTTGCATTTTTGTGCTATTGCTTGGTTCTTTTGCTGTTTAAAATGCCCCCCACTCCCAGAAATGTTGTTGAGTGTTCCTAAACACAGAAGGCTGTGTGCACTGAGGCTTATAAAGAAAATGTGTGTGTTAGATAAGCTTTGTTCAGGCATGAGTTACAGGGCTCTTGGCCATGAGCTCAATGTTAATGAATAATCTTAATGAATCAATGATATGTATTAAATAAGGCGTCTTTAACCTGAAACACACATAAAACAAGATTATGTATTGATTGTTGGATGAGACTGTTGTGACCAGAGACTTGCAGGAAACTCATCTTACTGTGTTTCCCCTGAGGAGTAATATGTTCAGTGTTTTCAAGTCCAGTGACCCTGGTTACTTTATGGAACATAACTATTGCAAATAATGAGAATGGACGAGGGGCGTGTGTGTGTGTGTGCTTCTTAAACCTTCAGAGACTAGAGATATTCATCTATCACTGTAATTTTAGAATCAAACTTTATATAACATGTGTATCTGTATAGCTCCAGATGCATTTATGGGAACACAGAATTTACAGGTTTGCAGTGGTAGACTGTTACATAAATCTCACTCAAAATCCAACCTATCCAAGTTGGTAAAAAAAAACAATAAAACATTTTGACACTAGAATTCATATCTTACATTTGTAAAGTCTTCTTTTCTCTCTCTCTCTGTAAAGTCCTCTCACCTGTGTTTAATTCTTACATACCAAAGTTGCCAGGGCATACTAAAGTTTGAGAACCATAAAGCCTAAAACAGAGATTCCCAAACATAAGAATAATTTGGAAAGATCCATGATGATATTATTTCCATTGTCCCACCTCAGTGGTTGCACTGAATCAGAATCACCTGCTGTGCTGTCTGTGCATTCATACTGTACAGGCAGGGGACCTTCATTGAGAAGACAAATATATAGGAACCAACATTTGTTTTAGGTTGTTTTGCTGTACAGGGCAATGTCCTCAATGGTTGGGAGACAAATGGAAGGCACTAGTTTGTGTTAAATGAAAAATCTTTGAAGACACATTCTGTAGCAATTTCTGCCAAAATATGTGTTGGCACAGAATTTGCCATGACCTGCGGTTTTTAGAACTACACATTCATTAGTATAAAGAGGCTGCTGCTCCCATATTCAAATGCCTACTCAGAATCTTGTTTGAAGGTAGAAAAACAGACATCTCAAACTCAAAAAATATGTAAAACAGAGCTTACGATCTTTCACCTTAAACCTTTTCTGATCACACCTTAAATAATGGCAGTTCAAACAGACACTATTGCCCAGAGCAAAAATTGTGTCATTATTTTTGGCTTTTTGTTTTCTCACACCTCACAAGTATGCAAAGAGAAAAATCTAACACTTTCCCCGCCCCCAATCTACAGTGCTTTTATCTGATGCAATCAGTCCTGGATTTTTGCATTACTTGAAATGGTCTCCCAACTCTTAAAAGTACAATATGCATAGTCTCCTCACTCCCTTCCTACCCGTGTTCCCGAAGAAGCATTCCCTAACCCAGGAGCAGCTGCAATCCAATTAAAGGAAGTCAGATTGCTTCCCATCTTAAAACTCCTTACTGTCTTAACTCATGTCACAGTAAAAAAGCAAAAATCGGCCGGGCGCGGTGGCTCACACCTGTAATCCCAGCACTTTGGGAGGCCAAGGCGGGTGGATCACGAGGTCAAGAGATCGAGACCATCCTGGTCAACATGGTGAAACCCCGTCTCTACTAAAAATACAAAAAATTAGCTGGGCATGGTGGCACGTGCCTGTAATCCCAGCTACTCAGGAGGCTGAGGCAGGAGAATTGCCTGAACCCGGGAGGCGGAGGTTGCGGTGAGCCGAGATCGCGCCATTGCACTCCAGCCTGGGTAACAAGAGCGAAACTCCGTCTCAAAAAAACCAAAAACAAAAACAAAAACAAAAAGCAAAAATCTTACATTACAGTTATGCACCCATATTCTTCCCCTCCCGACCCCACTTGACTCTCCTGTCTTACCACTCCCCACTTACTCATCATACTCCCGGTACCCTGGGTTTCATGCTGTTTTCTGAACACATATCCACTGAATGGTATGGTTGCCAATTTTAAGTACCAAATCTTCCTTTGTAACACCTCCTGCCTCAATGCAGAATAATACTACTCTTTTCCTTTGGTTTTGCTCCATAAAATGTTGACTTCCTAACACAGCATTGTTCAATGTAACCTTCAGCAAATGATAAGGTTCCACATCTATGATGATATACTCCATGCCAGCCACGGGAGGCTATTAAGCAGTGAAAATACAGCCAGGGAGACTGAGACAGTAAACTTAAAAAAAGAAAAATACAAACAGGGTCTCACTATGTTGTCCAGACTGGTCTCAAACTCCTGAGCTCAAATCATGCCCCCACTTTGGCCTCCCAAAGTCCTGGGATTACAGGTGTGAAACACTGCACCTGGCTGTAATTTAATCCTATTTTTGTTATTAAATTTAAGTTAAAAATTTTTAAATGCAGTCATTTTGTTTTGTAATTAATTTTAATTAAATTAGAATTTAAATAGGCATGTGTGCTCATGGCTACCATGCTGGAGAGCACAGTTCGTCTAGAATTTATCTGTGTGTGTGTGCGTGTGTGTGCGTGTGTGTGCTTAATGAGGAAGAGATTAGTACTCCTTTTATTGACATTTAAGTACAATTTCAATCAGTACTACTGGTTGAAAAGACCATCTTTCCTTTGCTATGTATCAATGCCACTTTGGCAATAAATCAATTATCCATATATGAGTGAGTGTTTATACATTCTCTATTTTGCTTTTATTGGTCTATTTGTTTATCTTTGAGGCAGCTACATACAGCTTTACATAGCATATCAGCATAATGTCTTTATCAGGCAGAGTTGAACCTTTTAAATCTGTTCTTCAAGACTGATTGACTTGGCTCTTCTTGTCTCTTTGCATTTACTCATGAATTTTAGAATATGCCTGTTGATTTTCACCAAAATAACCACACTAACCTGCAAGCAAACACCGTGCTTGAATTTTAATTTAGATTTGCACTGAGTCAATATCTAGTTTGCAAGAACTGATATTAGACAATATTGAGTCTTCTAATCAGTAAACATTTAATATTCCTCCTTTTTTTTAGGACATTAGGTCATCTAAAGGGTGTTTTATACTTATCTGTGTAGAAACCTTGTACGTCTCTCATTAGATTTACTACCATATGTTTGAGAATTTTTATGCTATTGAAAATATGATCTCCTAAAAGCATATTTTCTAATTTTTACTGCTGATGTACAAAATAAAATTAATTTTATATTTGACAATGACAATCCTAATCATAATACTTTATCTGTAAACTGTTTAGAGTATTTTAATATATAATCTGATTAACTACAAATAATGAGACTCTTAGTCTTTTTTCCCCCAATGCTTATGTTTTCCATTTCTTTCTCTTACTTTATTACACTGTCTAGGACCTCCAATACAATGGTGAAGAGAATGGTATTAATGCTGGTGACAGGAAAAGCTTTCCAATTCCACTATAAACTGTAATATATGCTGTAAGGTATTCTGGTGGGCACTGTTTATCAAAATGAGAAAACTTCCTTCTATTGGCCATTTGTGGAATGTTTTAAATTAAGAATTAATGCTGAATTTCATCAAACACATTTCCATGATTATTAATTTTTATGTAAACTTATGTAAGTAAAGAATTCAAGAAGATGTAAACCTTATGTTTACATACATTTGAAAAGTAAATATTGTTCAAAGTTTTTACATGTATTAATCTTCTCCCTGAGATGGTCTATCCTTCTTGTTTAGGGACATAATTGGAAATAGTTCTTATTAGATGTTTTAGACAGATACCACACGCGCTAAAAGAGACATTTAAAATCATTACCATGTAATTATTTTTTAAAGATTTATTTTCAGTTCTTCTAAGGAACAACACACATTTTAATCAAGTGGCAAATTAGGTCAACATTCTGCTTATTTCATTTTAATTTTGTGTATTTAAAACATGCATGCAAAGTTAACTGTAAAATAAAAGCTGATTAACTCACCGGTCATATTGCAATATAGAAGAAATGGTTCCAGGGGACCACTTCCATCTGAATCTATATAGTAAAACCCTGAAGCATTTCCTCTGTGCTTATAGGCTTCACATGACTGCTCATAGATAGCTTTAAAAGAAAGAATCAACATTAATGGAATAGCATGAAATGAATCTCTTAACTTTTAATTTGGACATGAAATACTGCGCATCTTGAAATTTAATACGTACATTACTGACTAGGAGAAAAGGCAAAACTTACTTTAAAACAAAACTCAATTATTTTAAAAAAGTAATATGGATGAAAGTGATTTGATGGAAAAAATGAAAATAATTTTATGACTTTTTAATTGCTGAAGGAAAGTGAAATCACTTGTTCAAAATCAAAATTTAGCTACTTTGACATTATGAAGAATAAGGAAAGAAAAGGTAGGTGTTAAATGTTAGAGTCTTATACGTACAATGTCATAACTTATCTTGCGGCACACATTTTGGAATTTCTAATTCTAGTAGCACCTTTTAATAACCTAATGTCTAAGGCACAACAGTGTAACCTCATTAAATAACCTGCCGTTCGCCAATAATTATACAATAGAAACATTTTAAATCATGTTGTAACTATACTTCATTCGTACAGAAAATTAACTATAGATAAAATATTTTTTCATAAAACAAATATCATTCACAAAGCTCCTCATCAATAATTTTTAGAATAATTTACTAAAGAAACTCTCACCAATGCTCTATAATGAGAATCAAGGTAATTAAAATTCGAAGCAGAAGAAATACTTGTATGAACTATGCCCTCAAGTAGTTTCAATGTATTTTTAGATCCATAATTGGATGTTTGGATGTTTTTAATTATATAATATTGTATTTGCCATGTACAAGGTTTCATATTAACACTTGTGTAACAATGCACACCTCTCATTGAGCACTTGGCCAAATACAATGAGAACTTCCATTAAGCGTTTCATTCTGTGAAATGGGAAATAAACAATCCCCTGAATATTCAACCCGGAATCTATTTGAGTTTTGAAAATTATGTTAATGAGTGGTTAGACAACACAAAACAATATGGGTAATTTGTTCAATGTTACCAAGATTTCAAGTAATCATATAAATTTACTTCCACACTTCTCCACAGTGTGACGGTTTTATGTTGTTCCTATTATATATCACACTGATAGAGAAATAAGCATGGATCGTTTTCCAGTCACATCTGCATTTTGTGCACTGACGTGGGCATGTAAAAATGACCAGTTTATATATTTCTATGTACACAGGCCTATGTTCATAAAGTCCTTGAAATAGTTTGGCAGAACATCACAACTTTGTAGTTGTGGAAAAGGATTGGATGAGAATACTTGGAAGGACTTCTGCTTTATGTGTATGGCTTGATTTTTATATCATGACTGTTTAATGATTATTTCCTAATAAGGCTTTGTAACAAACCCAATTTCCTGCCCTCCACTATAACCAAGACTGTTGATCTGGCTCCATTTCTCACAATAGCTATGGATAAAAAAAACCCTTCAGCTCTATTAGAGCTGTCTTCTCAAGAACCTAAAAAATTAAACTCAATTACTGGATCAAATTGTAGGTCACAGATGAAAGTAACTTTATTTATTATCTAATTTTTGTCTTCAGAGTTGTTTGGTTTATATTTAGATTCAGTCATTGATAATAATTAAAATGAATAGTGAAAACACTGAAAAGCTTTCTGTTTTGAGTTAGTTACCACATGGGGATAATGGAGGATATACACTGTCCCTCCACTAGCTGGGTGTCCTAGGTCAGATAACTGGGCATGTGGGTACAGGTGAGGAGGTAGCTTCTTGGTACAGATGATGGGTGGCTTTCTCAACAGCAAACATTCTTCATAAAAATCCTATCAGGCACCTCAATATACACAATTCATGCCCAGGAATGACTCCAGCAGCAATAGTGGTATAACTGGGAGATTCTCTTGATGTCCTTCCCAGCATGGAATCAGGGCTTCCGAGGGTCCTCTGTGCAGGCCCCCAGAGCTGAGAGCCCAGGATTCCAATCTCAACTCTGGCAGGAGGACAAAGCAGAGTACAGTGTAACAGACCAAAGGTGATCAGACTGATGGCTTTGTACCTAATACCCATGACTTAAGTCAAGGCTATAGGAGATAATACTAGTTCAGTTGCTCAGAAATGTCAGTAACGGTAGGGAAAAATGGGGGGATGGGCATTTTGGTCTTCCCGTAATATGCACTGGAACAACTGGACAATGAACTAACATGAGCCTTTCAACATATGCAAGCATTTCACCAGAAAAAAAAATGCATGATTTATAATACAGAAAAAAAAAGGACATTGGTTGTTATCCCAGGCTCTGGAAGATGATGCCACATGTTCACAACCTCACTCTGCCTCAACTATTTTAAGTTGCTTGAACAAGTGGATAAATATCTATTACTTTATAAGTAAGTTGCATATAATTGTATTCACATACTAGGATGACCATCAGAATTTAAAGAGTTAGGACATATAAAATACTAGATAAGTACCTGACATTTAGAAAGTATTGAAGAAAATTAACTATTGATCTACCACCATAATTTAATCATTACCTACCATCCTTTTCCTTATCACCCTCATTAACTAGGTGGGGCAGGAAAATGTGAAGATTACCTAGTGCAATAGACTGAAGGTTTATGTCCCCTCCCCTGAAAATTCCTAATGTGGTGGTATTTGGAGGTGGGCCCTTAGTGAAGTGATTAGGCCATGAGAGAGGAGCCCTCACGAATGGTATCAGTGCCCTTCTTAAAGAGATCCCAGGACGGACACAGTGGCTCACATGTGTAATCCCAGCATTTTGGGAGGGCAAGGCGGGTGGATCACCTGAGGTCGGGAGTTTGAGACCAACCTGACCAACGTGGAGAAACCCCATCTCTATTATAAATACAAAATTAGCTGGGCATGATGGCACACGAGTGTAATCCCAGCTACTCCAGAGGGTGAGGCAGGAGAATCACTTGAAGCCAGGAGGTGGAGGTTTCGGTGAGCTGAGATCGTGTCATTGCACTCCAGCCTGGACAACAAGAATGAAACCCCATCTCAGAAAAGGGAAAAAAAAAGAGACCCCAGAGAGATCCCTCAGCCCTTCTACCATGTGAGGACACAGTGAGAAGGTGGAAGTCTATGAATCAAGAAGCATACCCTCAACTAATCTGCTGGCATCTTGATCTTGATGTTCTCAGCCTCCAGAACCATGAGAAATATATTTCAACAGTTTATAGGTCACCTAGGCTATGGCATTCTGTTACAGCTACCCAAATAGACTACGACATCTAGTCTCCATTGGATATCTAAATCTTCATACCACAAATCACCCTGCCCCAAGTCCAGCCAGGGCTGTTCCTGAGAATCTCTTTGTTTAATAGTATGAATAGTAAGAATTTGGTAACTGATCACGTTTCCACTTGTACTGTGCCTTCTAGAAAGTTTAGTGTCAAAACGCTGGCCCAATTCAAGTAACAGAACGAGATAACTAAATTCACATTCTGCATGTAATTTATTTTCAATCCTTAGCTACCTTTCATCTTCTGTATGTATTTTCCCTTTGCCAGGTATTCTACTCTTTTCTTACCTATTTCATATTATGTGTTTCTACATGGAATCTTGACTACTTTATGAAACGAGATGTGGATTAACAACTGGAAGCTAAGTTTGCACAGCACGGACATACATACACATAGTAATGAAAAGGGAACTGGGACAAAGGAACCATCCCAGGGTCAAGAAAAAGCAGATCTGTTCCACTTACAGTTATGGCAAGTAGCTCCTCTGTAACCAGTGTCGGTACAGTTACAATGGAAGGTGCTCCAAGACTGGGAACACTCCCCACCGTGTTCACAATAGTTGGGCAAACACCTAAAAGAAGGAGTAGTTACAATCACCAGTTTTCATTTTCAGACATCTTAAAGTATTGATCATTTACACATGGTCCTGAGAAAGACACACGTCAACTCTAACACAATGACTAATGATGCTTCCGTCTGTTGTTAATCACTTTAATCACAGAACTAAAGCTTAGATCAATAAATTCATCAGACTTCAGCCAATTCTCAGGTAGTTGCAATTACTTTGTTTTCAACATGTCTTACTGTATCAGAGCCCTTCGTTTGCCCTAAGAGACATAACACAATTCAATATGTTGCCAGGAATATCAACAGCATCCATGACATAACATTTTTATCACATTGAATTGCAACATTTTTCGAACACTGAAAGGAGAAGGAATAAAAATAAAAGTAGAAAAGAAAAAAGGAACACAGAGAAACATCTTTCTTCACTTGAGGTATACGTCTAGGAACGTAGGAGAAGATACAGCATAGACTCAGATTTCAAGCAGTGTGTCGGGGTGCTGCTCTAAGGTGCAAATCAGAACTCATAGAGACTCCCAGGATAATTTAAGCTTTCAAGAGAAATATCTGTCATACTCAACATCTATCGAATACTGTGTGACTTACTAACTAGCTTGAGGTAGTTTAGTTTCGACATTACATCATCATGTATTCCCTTTAATCACATCCTATCTGTGAGGAGCAGGGTTTTAGTAACTGATTTTTTTTAAACAGCAAGTGCTGTGTGAAATCAACATTGAACAAAAAAATGAGGCTACTAGTGCCTGATCTTTCTTTTCTTTGTTTTTGTTTTTGTTTTTGTTTTTGAGACAGAGTCTCACTCTGTTGACCAGGTTCTAGAGAGCAGTGGCGCAATCTTGGCTCACTACAACCTCTGCCTCCTCGGTTCAAGCAGGGGTTCTGCCTCCTGGATTCTCCTGCCTCAGCCTCTGGAGTAGCTGGGATTACAGGCTTTCACCACCATACCCAGCTCTGGAGTCTGATTTGATTTCAAGTTTTGAAAAACTGAGCATTGTTCAATAGGTACACATGCCTAAACACTAAGTCACTGTGTTGAACTCAAAATAAAATTATTATTTTTTTCCAATAATTTGTATTACTTTTTTCAAAGGGTTATTACTTTTTTCAAAGGGTTCCTAAGTTGTTAGGGTATATTTGTTAAGTTTTTTGGACCTAAACCACTTTTTAAGGTTAGGGATATATTTCTAGTGTTAGGAAGGTCTTTTGGCTTAAGGGAACAGTGAAAATTACTGAGACACATACGGAGCCATAGATGTAAAAAAAAAGAAGAAGAAGAAAAAGAAGCTTAGAAACTTTTGTTATTGACTCAGATAGCCCTGATCAGATTTTTGAGGCCTTTACCATTTAGAATGAAACATACATTGTGATCAAGATTTAAATGCCCTCATTCATTAGAGGTTAACAAATAAATAAACTACAAAACCTGCCAAGAATATATTTGTGATACAGTTTCTACCACTTCCTTTGTTAAAACTAAGGATGAGAACTTCCTGTTTTGCTTATATAATTCTTCCAATTTTAACTGAAAAATATTATGGATTTTTTCCCCCTCATTATAAGGACTAAAATGGCACTAACATTCCCCTCAGATTAAGCAAAGTTCAAATAGGTTTCTTGCTGACTGTAGGCCCTGGAGTCCCCTATCTTAGAGCATTTACTTAAGAAAACTTAAAGTGATCAATTCTTTCTTTGTCCCTTTGAGATGTAAATCTTTTCCCAGCCTCTTGCCAGTTTTACAACCCAGTAATGTCCTTCAAGGACCTGGGAACCACCCCTTTAAAATGTAATCATTAAGAAAGATGGAGCCCCTGTCGCCCAGCCTCTGGGGAGGCAGGATCCTAACTCCTTTAAGCACCAATAAGAAAACACAGATGTCCTCATCTCAGTGACACTATTAGCCAGTTGTAAGGAAATAAATACTTATTAAGCTATTCATAGCTAAGCCACTTTTTAAATCAAAGTGTTAGATCTATCTTTCCACTCAGAGGCACAGTAAAGTTGCCTGGTCGCAGTGGCTCACACCTGTAATCCCAGCACTTAGGGAGGCCGAGGCGGGCAGATCATGAGGTCAGGAGTTTGAGCCCAGCCTGGCCAACATGGTGAAATCCGGACTCTACCAAAAGTACAAAAAATTAACTGGATATGGCGGCACATGCCTGTAATCCCAGCTACTCGGACAACTGAGGCAAAAGAAAGGCTTGAAGTCCGGAGGCAGAGGTTGCACTGCGCTGAGACCATGCCACTGCACTCCAGGTTGGGCAAGAGTGAGACTCCATCTCAAAATACTGAGACAGATAGCACATCACGTACAAATAGGCAGTGTATCAAGGACACTTTGGGAACTTGGGGTATGGACTCAAATAAGCCTGATCAAATTACCGATACCTTTTAGAATTCAGAATGAAACATACCAAGAGACCAAGGCTTTAAATGTCCTCATTCATCCCCAATTAAAAAATAAACTACAAAGCCTGTCAAGAATATATTCATAATAGGGTTTCTGCCATCTCTTTTATTAAAATGAAGAACGGAAACTTCATGATTTGCTTATAAAATTTTTTCCAATTTTAACTAAAAACATTACGCATTTTTCCTAATTATAAGAAAACGAAAAGTCCACTGTACAGAAATTAAACAATCCAGGAGAAAATAAAAAAGAAATGTCATTGGCAATTTCATTGTGTATGAATGACCACTACAAACATGTAGACATGTATATATATATTCATAAATGTAAAAATAAACACTACTTTACAATCTGCTTTTTAAGAAACCAAAAATTAATAATCAGCATCTTTTTATACTCATTAAGTTTATATATATTTAGCATTTTTATAGATTCATAGGAATTCATTCAAAAATGTATCATGATTTATTTAATTTTAAGCATTTCGAATCAATGACGATGTATAAAACCAAGGAGATTTTAAAATATCAAAACAATAACAATTCTCAGTAATCAAACTTAAAAGGAGATTATTCAGAAAAGCCTTTTTTTAAAATCTACTGGGTATTTTATGTTTTTTTTTAAAGTGTTATTTTAAGTTCAGGGGTAACTTAGGTGCAGGTTTTTTATGGGGTAAACTTGTGTCATGAGGGTTTATTGTACAGATGATTCCATCACCCAGGTACTGAGCCTAGCACCCATTAGTTATTTTTCCTGATCCTCTCCTTCCTCCCACCCTCCAGCCTCCAGCAGATCCCAGTATGTGTGTTGTTCCCCTCTTTATGTCTATATATCCTCATCATTTGGCTCCACTTGTAAGTAAGAACATGCTGTATTCGTTGCATTAGTCTTCTCAATGGCAAAGACACGGAATCAATCTAAATGCTCATTAATGATAAACCAGATAAAGAGAATGTGGTTCATATACACGATGGAATACCATGCAGCCATGAAAAAGAGTGAGATCACATCCTTTGCAGGAACACAGATGGAGCTACAGACCACTATTTATAGCAAACTAATGCAGGAACAGAAAACCAAAGGCTATTCTTTAGCAAACCTCAAACTACATTTCAAAAGGAAATCAATCTAAGTGGCTTTGCCTAAAATCCAAAAGAAAGACTCTTAAATGATTGTGATACACATGCTATTTCTATTTATCTGCTTCAAAAAGACCAACAGAGTCAATTTTTCTTGATTCTTGTTAGACTAGGTTTTTCATATTTTTAATTCAAATGTGAAAGATTAAATTGTGGATTTTATTTAAAGTCATTCTATTACAGCAATGTTTCTACTAGTAACCAATGACAACATGTTCTATAGTACTCATTCTCACCCAATGTTCTAAACAGTTGTGTTTTACATTTTTCTCCTCCCTACTCACTCCAATTCAAGGTAAGACAATCCATTAACCCATTCCCTCTAGCCACTAAAGCTTTTCCTTGGATACTGCCATCATTTTCATTGCTTGTGAACTTTAACAAATGCTTACATCAACATATCCAAACCTAAAGCTATAGTAAGATTTTGATGTCTCCTGATTCCCTTTCCATTTCAATGTAAATTTCAAAAGCTTTCATACAATGTGAAGACTGGCTGGAATTAATATTGAAGTAAACTCTACACATGATCACATTTAGGAAAACAAACTTCAATGCCTATGAGTGCTAGGATGATCATGACCATCACAAGTCATATGTTATATTCTTCCTCAGAATGTTGATAGGGACAAGAATCAAGCTCCTCATATGCCTAACCCTCGCCTCCAAAAGGGCCATGCCTTCAGTATTCCAGGAGGCAGAATAACGCCATGATCTTCAGATCAGCTGGAACAAACCCCACGTGTAAGCATAAGGAAGAAAGGGCAGGCTTGAGGGCTTCATGGAGAAGAGGCAAAGTAGGCAGGTAGAAACTCCACCAGAAAGGAGGAGGGAAACGATGGGCCTGGATGGAGGATGGTGCCACGGAGGCTGGAGGCCAGAGCCCGAGGGCCAGGTACTAGGGGTGAATTGGAAGGACAGGTGATGGAGGTGCAGAGGCTGGAGCCGAGGAAGCCAGGAACTGGTACTGGGCTTGCTGAGGTCACGAGGTGGACACTGTCACTCGACAGCCTCTTAGTTCCTGTCAGGGGTCTCTGCAGCCCAGGCGTCCTTTGATAACAAATGATATACTAAACAATTTCCTTTAATACGTGTTTTAGGTCCAAGCAAATTCGTAAGAATGTTGTCTTAGCAGCCATCACTCCTGCCCCAGCCCCGCTCACATTTTGGACCCAGATGTGGGGACTTGGACAGCAGCTGGCTTTTCAGTTCTGTACTCCCCTATCAGCCACCCCTCTCCAGAGTCCCCGGACTGAGGGCCACCCTGCTGCACGTCCACGGAGGATGAGGGGAGGTCTTCTAGGTGTATGTGTGGTGGCAGAATGACTCTGTATAAGGAAGATGTGAATATAAGAAGTGTGGGTAGGACTTACGGGTGGAGGAGTGTATAAGGATGGTCATGTGCATGTGTATGAGTGTGCATTAATAAAAATATGTGAGGAGTTGAGCAAATGTGTGTAAGAATGGTGTGTGAATGTGTTAAGAAGCTCTGGGCTATGTGAATGAGCATACGAGTGTATATACATAAGAAAAACTGTGTGGAAAAACCACAGTGGTGCATGTGTGCAGACAGTGTGTGTGAATAGCCATGTAATATGAACATGAGCATGTGTGTGTATTTGTAATTACACCTTTATGTGTAGGTCTGAGCCAACTTAAAGTCAATTATAGTTTTTAAAAACCTGCATTAATTTCCTGTCAGATTGTTAATGTTTTTAATGTTACTGCTTATTTTTAATTATAGTTTATTAAACCATCAAATGATATCTTTATTATGCATGGATTAAATATTAACCACCCCACATGTTAAATTGCACCCAGAGGGGCTGCATGGCATGGCAGGCAAACATTTAGGGGACTTTCCTGGATCCAGCATGCTTGGATTAGAGGCTGGGCTATGCCTTTTCTTAGACATGTCATGTTAGCCAACTTACTCTCTCTGTACATCTGATCCCATATTTATAGAAAACAAACACTATTAAGAACAGGTTCTAAGAGATTTTACGAGGCTTGATTTAAATGTTCATTCATGTTAAGTGCTTAGCACGAGGCCTGGTATACAGACTTTTTTTTAAAGGTCCATTTAATGTATGGGATGCCATCCATCTTGGGATACCATGTCAGCAAGTATAGCATACAAGACCAAACTAAATAAAAATCTTCTTCGAGTATAAGACAATATGTTTAGAGATACACGTGGAAATTTAGAAGGTACACAAATGTTACTTGATTTTTGCTATTTTTTTTAAAGATTGTTAGGGTTGCTGTTAGCCTAAAGCATCTTTTAAAGAGAAACATGTGTAGTCAAGATCTATCAAGATGCTATTTCTGAAAAAAGCATTTTTATGGTATGGTACTAAAGTGATATATTCTCCAATTGCGCTGATGGTCCTCTATCTTACAGAAAGTATCTACCCTCAGATTGTAGGCAACTGGGAGCCCTTATATAAAATGGCAGTTCCAGAACATGTTTACACAGGACAAAGGGTGGATATACTTGTACCCAATGAATGCTCTGCAATCTGAAATAGCCAACATGCACTATCACTCAGTGTGTGTGACTGACCCTCTCCCTGCCAGTTTCCCTGATGGCTGCTCCCCATCTGGCGATGGGGAGTCCCTGCCTCTGTGAACAATCCTCATATTAAGAAGTCAGGCCCAGGAAGCCTCACTGCGTGCCCTTCCCCAAATCAGATTTTAGGTTCCAGAGCTGTTAAGGTTGTAACTATGAACAAGTTAAAAAAATTGGACCCAGAAGTCATTCAATCCTCGAATCAACCCAGTTGAGGTTTAATGTCTAAATTATCTCTTTCATGCCATCTTTCATTATAGAAAGAATTTTTTTCAACAGGCATGGTGGCTCACACCTGTAATCCCAGCACTTTGGGAGGCCAAGGTGGGTGGATTACCTGAGGTCAGGAGTTCGAGACCAGCCTGACCAACATGGAGAAACCCCGTGTCTACTAAAAATACAAAATTAGCCAGGCAGGATGGCACGTGCCTGCAATCCCAGCTACTCGGGAAGCTGAGGCAGGAGAATCGCTTGAACCCGGGAGACAGAAGCTGTGGTGAGCTAAGATCGCTCCACTACACTCCAGCCTAAGTGACAGAAACAAAACAATGACTCAGAAAAAAAAGAAAAAGAAAAGAACTGTTTTCTCGGCAAATTGTTTTAAATAAACAAACATTTGTGGGGAGGAAAGTATGTCCTTCTAATCCTATTGCTAAATATGATTATTATTACTGTTTTTGGGACATAATGAAGTATTAGTGTTCAAAATAGGATTGACAAATACTACTGAGTGGTCTGTTGTATACAAATAGAAGAGTCTTTTTGTTGACAAAATGTTTCATGAAAGTAAAAAGTTACTTTTGATGCTCACAATTTATGTATTTATTCAAAATACATATTGAACATGACTACAGGGTTGAAGCTAATTTTGTCACACTGTTTAAAAAATTGTTTAATCTGTAATGGTTATGACATTCCATTAAACTCAATAATTAAAATTAACAGCCTTGATATTAAAGCATGACTGACAAGATGACTTAGCTATAGTTGCTCATGCTTAACCACAGGTTTCAATTATTATTAACTATTAATTATTATTTTTGGTTGGGTGTAGTGGCTCATGCCTGTAATTCCAACACTTTGGGAGGCTGAAGTGGGCAGATAGCTTGAGCTCATGTGTTCAAGACCATCCTGGGTCACATGGCAAAACCCTGTCTCTACAGAAAAAAAGATAAAAATTAGCCAGGTGTGGTGTTGCATGTCTGTAGTCCCAGCAACTTGGGAGGCTGAGATAGGAGGATTGCTTGAGCTAAGGGGGCAGAAGCTGCAGTGGGCTAAAATCACACCAGTGTACTCCAGCCTGGGCAACAGAGCCAGACCTTGTCTCAAAAATACATATATATTATTTATAAGGTTATTTGTCCTCCACAATTAACTCTAAGTTCTGCCTTGTCATGTCCTATACTGATGCTCTTACTGAAACTCTTTGATCATCCTTGTATCTTGATCAATACTACAGCCCCAACCTTCTCTAGAGAAGAAATTCATTTTTATTTTCCCTGCAGAGAAGACGGTAATGAGTTTTCAAAAAGGCACATTAGGAAAATTGTAACCACCTGAATTCCCCTGCCTTGGAAAATATTCCACTGTCAGGGTGTCAAATGTCAGTTTAATAACTAACCACACAGTCTGAAATTTATTGGTATTTGATGATCAATTTTACTATTCACGTGCCTTAATATATTGAGATTAGCGACCTATTTTTGATACATCTACACTCAGCTAAAATTACACCAGCATCAACATTATCTTTCATGAACTGGCAGCATGTGTACATACGTGGCCATACATAACATGGCCAAGTCTTCCAAATTTTGTCATTTAAAACGTGACATTTAAACAAAGGGTGCATTTTTTCTTATCTCTAATGAAATACAACCCATTTCCTGTGGAACAAGAATGAGGAAGAGGAGAGAATAATTGTTCATCTTACATATAAATTTTCATCTGATGCCAAAATTTGAAAGTAGGTTGAAATGAAGTGAGATTGTCCTTACCTGTCTGAGATGCCACATGAGTCTATCTGAAGGTCGCTGAAGTTCCCAAGGGACCCCTGCTGAACTAAAATCAGATCTACCACTTTGCCGCTGATAGAAATGAGCCTCATACATCCCTGAAATCCACCAAGTGGACTTCTACATTTGGATCCAAAGCTTTTGTCAGGACAACCTGATAAAAACAAAATTAAACCACTATGCATCATAATGAATCAGAATTCAGCATCATAGACAACTTCATTTAAAAAAATAAAACAAATAGGCATACGATTATTTTCTGTATTCAAGCAGGGAATAATGACTGTAGTCATTATTAGTTTGATCTAAATTACAAATTGAAATTCATACAAATAATTTTTTAATTACATAGCATTCCCAGGTAGTCACTAGTATTATAATAATGTGCAAGGATATTAATTTGATCTAGATTCGAAAAATATACACATTAGCTTCAGAATCCTAAACATGCCAGCCAGCAACATTAAACTATATATAACTTACAGATGGGAACATAGTATTTTGAACTGCAAAATTAAAAGAACATAAAAGACGAATACATGTACTATGTATAAGAAAAGATACTTTAATAATGGTGAAATGTCTTTGATGAAATACATGTACTATGTATAAGAAAAGATACTTTAATAATGGTGAAATGTCTTTGGTGAAATTTATAAAGCTAACTATTTGGAAAATGGGTTATCTTGACTTGGAATAACATTACCAACTGTTTATCAAATTAATTATTGTATTTTCCTATAAACAAAGGACAAATGCTTGAGAGGATAAATACACGGATTTTAGTAAGTCTTGATGGCTTAACATCAAAAAAATTTCTCAGTTTGATTTTATTTATTCTTTGCCTCACAAAAGAATGTTTTATTTATACTGATTTTTTTACTAATGTTTATATAACTCTTGTTTACAATTATTTAAATAATAAATATAAAATTAATCATTATTGTCTGTGGTTTAATGACATTCTAAATGTTTCTTTATCCAAGTGGAATAAATAAGTTTATGGAGTATGAATACATATATTACAATTTTCAATTTGTGTAGGTACATGGTAGGTGTATATATGGGGTACATGAGATATTTTGAAACAGGCATGCAATGTGAAATAATCACAACATGGAGAATGGGGTATTCATCCTCTGAAGCATTTATCCTTTGTTTTACAAACAAGCCAATTAAACTATTTTAGTTATTTTAAAATGTACAATTAAGTGATTACTGACTACAGTTACCCTGTTGTGCTATCAAACGGTAGGTCCTATGCATCCTTTCTAACTGTATTTTGTACCCATTAACAATCTCCCACTCCTCGCCAACTCCTATTACCCTTCCCAGCCTCTTGCAACAACACGGAGGGAACTGGAGATCATTACGTTAAGTGAAATAAGCCAGGCACAGAAAGACAAACATTACATGTTCTCACTTATTTGTGGGACCTAAAATTCAAAACCATTGAACCCACTGACATAGAGAGTAGAAAGGTGGTTATTATATTATTTTTCATTAATCTTCATTTGTTTGCCATGATAGTCATCAATCACTATCACAATTTCAAAGAATAAGAGGTGAGTCAGCAACTTCTTAATTCCTGTACAATCCACACTACTTTTCTACCTGCAGAATTTCTATTATAATTAAATTGTTGGACTGATAATATTTTTCCTGAATGCTCTGTTTTCCTGACAAAATACATTCACACAGCAAGTAAAGGATAGCATTCAAATTTAAAACTACTATCAGACACATTGAAAGATTTTATTTTAACCTAATGGAGACTTCGAAGTTTCAAATTTAATGTATCAGGAAAAATTCATCAGAGTTTTTTGAGCATTAATTTATTGTATGGTACTACACACACTTCCAGTGCTTAAATTTCTTCTGTAGTGTACGATATGGTTACCATAATCTCAGTACGTATTCTGGATGACTTATTAGCCAATTAAGAATGTTAGGGTAAAAACTGAAAGGATAATAGTTCAATAATATTTTGAAGCAACTACAATATGCCAGGAATATAAATAACTCTGCTAATCTTCTTTTCTCCAGGTGGTATTTCCTGACACATCTCAAACGAATTCAGAATAAAATAAATTGTGCAATATGCCTGTAGGGAACAAAACTAAGCCAACCCAGAGTCACAAGGAAAGATCATGGAATTTTACAGAAAGCACGCTATGCTATCATGAGGCACTTCATATTCCTAGCTACAATGTTCAGTAAGCAAGAGACTCTAGGAACAAAGAGGGGTTCAACCCAGGTTAGTGTCATTAGTCTATGATAAGAGGCAGCAACAAGTTAATATAAGGCAATACCAGAGAGAAGTTCAGCACTGAGCCCAATTTGAGATGAAAGTCCTAAAATAGGAAGATTTCTGAAGAATACTTAATGCTGAATTAATGGATGGATCCACTACTGGAGGCAGTCAGCATGTTAAGCACCTCTGAGGATAACAGATAAATTATCTCTATATGTCACTGCAGCAGAAGTGAGATGTCAGGTTAGACTTCACAGTGCTGTAGTCAGTTCATTTGATGGAGAATGTTTGCTTTACACAAGGGAGGGGGATGTGAGAATTTTGCACACAGTATCCCCAGCTTGTGCTGCATGGCGTGTTAGGCATTGCAAAAGATTCCATAAGGGAATTTACAGACATCAGACACTCAGCCATCCTTAATCTAGAGAATCTAAATGTAAAATATGTAATTTATAAATGATAAAAGCTGAGCAGAATGTACCACCACAATGCAGTCTGACTTTGTGAAAAGCACTTGTTTGAGGGTGGGAAAAAAAGTAAAGAGTAGTAAGTGATGGACAGATACTAGAAGTCTGGCATGGCATATATATAGATGGCTGCTAGTTCAGGACCAGCCCACTCTCCCAGTATGACAGCCACTATCAAGACTGGTAAAGAGTGGAGCTATTATAACTGGAAACTTACGGTTAAATTTAGAGAGAAGGAGAACTGATGAGATGTGTCTCACAACATGAAATAACTTCTTACTTGAACATAAACTGGCTGAAGAATTATTTAAAAAACACTTTCCACTAGACAACACAGATCCTAGTGATAGAGAGGAGTCTCATCTACATAGAACTTTCCAGGGTCGACGACTGTCACAGTTTGCCCAGGACTGGGGAGAGGAGGTTGTTCCCAGGATGAAAGATTTTCAGCTAAAATTGGCAAGAGTTGATCACCGCATTGCCTGTACCACCCAGGTCCCTGTGCCAGTCCTGCATTTTAGGGAGCCGACTTTAGTCTTCCTCCAGCCATGCTCTAGCCCATGGTACCAGGAGGCCTCACAGGAAAAGATGATGTGTCCAATTAGAACCTTTCCCCTCTAGTTCACTCCCAGGATCCACAATTCCCAGCCTAAAACCCGTAAGTGGGCTTCCTGGAAGATGGATCTCCTTAACCTGGTTCTGGAAATACAAGGCTGGGCAGTGCAGGGCAGACTTGGGCAGCAGGCCTTCTGCTGTCATCCGGCCCCTTGCTTTCAGCCCTGAAAATCTGAGGGTGGCCTGGATTTTGCAGAGCTTGTATTTAATGATCAACACAACCTCATGTCAAGGTCAAGCACATTCTGATACAGAAGAACAACAATTTAAAAAATGATTGAATAAACAGACATACCTAAGGAAACCTGAGATTCATAATTTTTTAAGAAAACCCTGAAGTTGGAATTTTATTGTGGAAGCTCTCACAATATAGTAAACACCTTAACAGATGTAAAATTAAAATAAATATGAAAGAAGAATAAACCCCAAATTCAGGAGAGCGTTTACATGGGAAATCAAAAGATAGGATTCAAGGGACAGACATGCATTGATAATCCGTCTTTAGCAGAGGGACACAGGGGTAGGTGTGTACTTAAGAAAAATTGTTAGTAGTCTTTAAAATGTATATATACTGTAAGGTGAGAACAACAGGAAACTGGACGTAGGGTGTGCAGGAACTCTCTATATCTTTGCAACTTTTCTGTAAATCTAAAACTATTCAAAAACATTTGTTAAAAAATGATGTATATTAGGCCGGGGGCGGTGGCTCAAGCCTGTAATCCCAGCGCTTTCGGAGGCCGAGGCGGGTGGATCACGAGGTCAAAAGATCGAGACCATCACGGTCAACATAGTAAAACCCCATCTCTACTAAAAATAAAAAATAAAAAAAAAATTAGCTGGGCATGGTGGCACGTGCCTGTCATCCCAGCTACTCAGGAGGCTGAGGCAGGAGAATTGCCTGAACCCAGGAGGCCGAGATTGCGGTGAGCCTAGATCGCGCCATTGCACTCCACCCTGGGTAACAAGAGCAAAACTCTGTCTCAAAATGATGTATATTATATGTATCATAATCAAAACAAGCAAAATCACTGAGTACATATGCGATATATTTTACCTATAATAACATTACAGTATGAGTAAAAGCAATAGAGTAAGAATTTATACAAACTAGGTAGGCATTGTTAAACCTGAACGCGAAGGACATAAAATATGTGAAGAACAATGATTCTACTTTCATGATTTACAAACAATTTTATCCAGTCTTTTATTTTGCATCATTTAACAATAGGCCTATTTTTTTTTCTTATCTCTGTTAGTGCTTCTAAATCTCTTCCTTTGAAGTGAAAGCTCTTGGTTAAGTTGTTCCATATATCTTACTATTTATTAAAAGAATGTGTTACTATGGATTGCCATAGAATCAATCATATATTCCAAAGGGTTTTATAAGCAGCCTGGTTTAAACATCTCAGTAAAGGAAGCAATTATATATTTTCAGATTGCTGGCCCTAAGCAGCCTTTTAAAGTAATGGATTATGTAGCAGTTATTTTGTTTGTTTGTTTCTCTGCTTTTAGGATTCTATAAATTGATTCATGGACTGTGTGCTCACTGTCAATACTTAGAAAAGAATTTGTATTTTATTAGTGAATAATAAAGACTGGGCTACCTCTATCAAATTCAAAAAATGACTCCAGATAGAAGCAATTATTAAAACGCAACATAACAACGACAAAACAATGCAAATATAAGAAATACCTGATTAGAAGTGAGTCTTACTGCTGGCAGTTTTAAAACATTGCATTTCTAATGGAGAAGAACATTGGTTTTAATTTGCCAGTGATAAAAATTCATTTCCATTTTTTGGGTTTTCTTTTCCAAGCTTTTAGTTTAAACACCATCCACTGGGCAGGTGGACGCTTCATTTGCTTTTATTCTCTAAGGGAGATGAGCTGGTGTCAAAGGCTGATGTTCTGATTTCATCAAATGTATCGGTGCATTATTGCTTAGCAAGGAGAAGAGGTTGCTGTGGCTGATTAAGTTAAATTATTTGACCATTGGCATAATATTGTCCTTCTGCATTGGACAGTAGGGAAGCAATAGGGATGCTCTGAAGGAGCTAAGAGGCATAATCAAGAAAACACTGCAATTAAATCAGCCCATAAAATCAGAAGAAGACATATAAGGATCATTTAACATTAGGAAAATATAACAAGGTTTGAAGGTAAGAACTGAAGAGGGTGGCCTACTTAAAATCAATCTCATTATAGAAATTGTAAACATAAGTAAGTCCACCTTGCAGAAATGCACTTCAGGTCAGAATTTTTTGACTGGATCCACCCAAAATTTCCACGGTCAAAGACAGTGAACAATTATTCCTTAGTATTCATATTGGTTAAAACATGATGACTTCCTCAGGACACAGGAGCACTAATGCAAATACGGTTCAGTTGCTCATAGAGTCCGATGCCTAGTCTTACCTCCAAAATAATAGGTGCCACCTGAATAAATCTGCTCAGGCCCCAGCAGAGGAGTAGCAGAAACCATATGGCCATCCACCGCCACACTCAAGTGATTCTTTTTAGCAGATAAAGAGACAGAATGCCACTGCCCATCATTTAATCCGACACCTGGGGAGAGGAAACCAGTTAGAGCTCTCTCTCAGTAGTGAACACCGTAAGAAGTTGGTTACAAACAGTAATACACACATCACTCAATTGGGTACAGTACTTAACTCGATTAATTAAAAACAATGACATCAACAAGTAAAGGGAGGCAAATGGGAAACCAGCATCCTCTATGTGGAAAACAGGGCATTCCAAAATTCACAACCCTGGACAATCCTGGATGGTTAAAATAGTTCAATAATTTGTCATAGATTGATTTTAGCTTCCATCTATGGAATTTCCTTCTTAGGGAAGAAGGGCTTAAGAATTCCCAAAATTCAAAGTTCTATCCAATAAAATGGTTTACCCACTATTCCACACTTTTGTGTAACCATCTTTTTATAGTAGAATAACAGGATATTTAGCAAACAATATCATCAACTATTACAAAAATATTGCAATAAATTATTAATAGTGAAAGTTTACAGGTATAACATAAAGTTAAAAGATAAAGCACCATGAAACCTATTTATATGCAATTGATCCTCATAATTTGTAGATTTTATATTTGAGAATTTGCTTCCTCATTGAAACTTACTTATAACTCTCAAATCTTAAATATTTGAAGGGGCTATCTCAGTCATTTGAGGACATGTACAGAGCAGTAAAGAACTTGAGTGGCCCTCTCCACATTTCCTGCTGAGGTCAAACAGAGCAATGTTCTCCCTTACTGCTTTAGCTCTCATACAATAAGCAACACTTTCTTTAAATTTTTTTTTAAGTTCGTTGGTGATTTCACTGTTTAAAATGGCCCCCAAACATCATGCCAAAGTGTTGTCTAGCATTTCTAAGAGCAAGAAGGCTGTGATGTGTCTTTTAGAGAAAATGTATGTGTTAGCTAAGTTTCATTCAGGCATGAATTATGGTGCTGTTGGCAGTAAGTCCAATGTTAATGAATCAACAACATTACACGAAATAAGACATCCTTAAACAGAAACACAGATAAAACAAAATTAGGCTCCCAGGAACCTTACTCTGTATTTCTCCCAGGAGCAAAGTTCAGTATTCCCTAATTCAGTGTTCACAGACATTTTGGAAAATAACTGTAATAAATAATGCGAATAAACTCTGTATATATTTATACACAATTCTAATTATATTCTTATATAAGTAGGGAAGGGACTGAACAGAAATGTTCTTACATGGAAACAGTAGTTTTTTTATGAAGGAAAAATGTAATTGTTTCTATTTACTTAAATATTTTCCAAGTTTATACATATATATGTGTGTGTATATATGTATAAAGTCAAAAGTTGCTAAAATAAAAAATCAAGGTATTCTTATCACCTCTAAAATCAATCTCTAGTCCCTTCTAAGGAAGTCCCAGTGTCATGAATCCATCAGAATGCACAGACTTTTCCTCTTACAGGCAATCAATTCTGCAAGGAGCTCCGTGGTTAAATACTGAGCAGAGACAAGAAATCTAAGTGTCTTTGTCATGAATTTACCAGTCAGTTTTACATTCATTTGAATAGTCAACTCTGTGTGATTCTGCAGATCAAATTAGTAAACAAAAACTATAAGCAATCTACCAAACCCAACAGCCTCTTTTCGGATATTACATGTGATTCTTTACTGATTTTATGCAAACATCTTTTCTGATATATGTGATTTCTTTTATTTCCTCAAGCAATTTCTACCACATGCATTTCGAGTGAAAAATGCATCAAAGTTCCCTTAGGTGATTCCTGTCTTTGCCATGGACGTATTTAGCGTAACACAAATTTTAGCCAGGGCACACTTTTAAATCATATCCATGAACCAAAAAAGATTATCGAAGACCCAACTCTAGTTTGGTTTGTGAAAGATAATAGGAAAGGTCTGAAAACTGGAATAGGAAGAATGTAGGTTAGATACTTTTAGACACATTTTCTAAGAGTGGACTCTGAAATAGACAGCTGAATAGAGTTATGTAATCCTTGAGCGTATAGGACTGGATTAAAATAAATCAAATGTCCTAGATTTGTCATCCAGTGCTTCCTTTAAGACAGATTTCCCCCATTTAGAGTGAAATTTCTTATATGCTCTTTGTGTCACATGTACAGGCCCTTCCCAGTCTACCACCTGCCCCTGGCGTTTCTCCTCCACCTCATTCTCAAAGTCCTGTGTGCAAGACTCTACTTCTCTTATTTTATTTTAGGCTTTCCATTGGTGTCCGACAGTTCTTCTGAAACTATCTGTGGGGATGAACATTTTATTTTCTGATCTATTGCAAATTGACATTTTTATAAAATATGATGAAAATAAATTACTAAAATAATAGATTTTGGCAAGGTTGCAGAAAAAAGGGGAATGACTATACATTGTTAGTGGAACTGTAAATTAGTTCAGCTTCTGTGGAAAGCAGTTTGGAGATTTCTCAAAGAACTAAAAATAGGATTACTATCCAAAGAAGCAATCCCATTACTGGGTCTATACCCAAAGGAAAATAAATCATTCTACCAAAAACAGGGGACCCAATCTCCACAGCCATGGACCAATAATGATGGGTCTGCAGCCTGTTAGGAATCAGGTCACACAACAAAAGATGAGTGGCTGGTAGGCAGGCAAGCGAAGCTCCATCTGTATTTACAGCTGCTCCCATCACTTGCATTACTGCCTGAGCTCCTCCTCCTATCAGATCAGCGGTGGCATTAGATTCTCCTAGGAGTTCTAACCCTACTGTGAACTGCACATGGGAGAGATCTAGGTTGCACACTCCTTATAAGAATCTAACGCTTGATGATCACTGTCTCCCATCACCCCCAGATGGGACCATCTAGAAGAAGAAAACAAGCTCTGGGCTCCCACTGATTCCACATTACGGTGTGCTGTTTAATTATTTCATTATATATTAAAATATAATAATAATAGAAATAAAGTACATAATCAATGTCATGTGTTCGAATCATCCTGAAACCATGCCCCCTCATCACAGTCCACGGAAAAACTGTCTTTCATAAAACCAGTCCCTGGTGCCAAAAACGTTGGGGACCACTGACCAAAAAGATGCCTGCACTCACATGTTTACTGCAGTGTTATTTATAATAGCAAAGACATGGAATCAACCTAGGTGCCCAGCAATGATGGAATGGATAAAGAAAATGTGGCACATATACATCACAGAATACTATGTAGCCATTAAAAAGAATGAAACAACATTGTTTGCAGCAACATAAACGCAGCTGGAGACTATTATCCTAAGCGAATTACCACAAACACAGAAAACCAAATAGAGCATGTAAGTGGGAGCTGATTGTTGGGTACACGTGGTCATACAGATGGGAACAATAGACACTGGGGACTTCAAAAGGGGAGAGGGAGCAGGGCAAGAATTTAAAAACTACCTGTCAGGTACCATGTTCGCTATTTGGGTAATGGGTTCAACTGAAGCCCAAATCTCAGCACAGTGCAATACATCCATGTAATGACCTGCACTTGCACCCCTGAATCTAGAATTTTAAAAAATAAAATAATAAATAAATAAGACACAAAATACAAGCCCAGTAACGATATGCTTAGATGTTGCAGTGATCTCCTTTCATCAGTTTCTAGGTGTTTAATCTCCATTTTTACGTTTATCTCATCACAGATCGGTAACAAGTATTTCACTGAGCCAGTGCTGGTCCAGGGACCACACTTTGAGTAGCAGGGCTCTGGGCAGTCATTGGGTAAGCATGCAACAAGATTGAGCAAAAGACCTGGGGAGGCCTATTGTCCGCAGAGAAGCAAAAACTAGATTAAGAACAAAAGACTGCCAAAGCAATCCACTCTGTAATTTGGCACACATTTAAGCACACTCATCTAGCAAGCTAGCAGGTGGCAGGTTGTGACTGGAATAAAGTTGTGCCATGTTTGTGAGGGAACCTTCAGAAAGCATTCCCCAAGCCTCCTTCCTAACAAACATTATTTACCTATGATGAACAGACTGAATACCTGTCAATGGAATTTATTACTCAGATTAATTCACAAAAGGTCCCTTTAATTCATTTCGACTAACTCTACCGAATTTTAAATTAGATCCTAATTGTTTTGTAAGTATACAACTCCTTTCCATTTCTGTGTCTGATGATAGGTTGGCCCCTTTTAAAGGCCACGCCACTGTGAAACAGGAAAGAGAAGAAGTCACAGAATTTGAATTTTTTTCTCGTTTATGATACTGTGTAACTAAATGAAAATTCTATGCATCAGTCCCACTACTCTTAACTTTTAAGTGTGGGGAGGAACATGCTGGTGTAATAATAAAATAATAATCTTATTGAGGTATTACTCATAACAGGTTCACAGTACCTGTTATGCATTGTATCAGTTAATCTTCACTATAACTATTATTATTCTCACCTTAAATAAGGAGAAAATGAGGCTCAGAGAAAAACAAACGATTGAGGTCATATCTAGCTGCTGAATAGCTGAAGGAAAACAGAAAACCAAGATTGACTCCAAACCTACACTCTTCTCTGTCAGCAAGACAGGTTTTCCCATTATTTTATTTTATTTTATTTTATGTTTTGCTCATGTTGAACAATTAATTCTTAAGAAAAACAGGACCCAACAGCTAGGACATGGCCTAGCACCATCAGTGAGGCGTTGGTGCTGTAAGAATCTGGCTGGGCTGGATTCTTTGGACTGGGCTTTGGTATTCTCCTGCTGAACATCAACAATATCACAGAACACCAACATCAGACAAGGCGATTCTATGACTATAATGAAATGAGGGTGGGGAAAGATCAAGACTACTTTATAATCATGTCCAAACACAGACAGAAGCAAGGCTACTGTACAAACCACAAAAACACAACCTTCTTTCTCTCCTGATACTATGAATGATCAATTGTTTGGTCTTCTATTTACCAATTACATCTTTAGCTTTACTTCCTTCTTTCATCCTTCTAGATAAGGTTTACAAAGATATCTAATCATAGAATTACCCTCAGTTCCTAACAGCATGTAGTCTACAGCAATTTTTCACTTTCTTGAAACTTCCCTCGAATCAGCAAATACAACCGAAATCCCATACCATCCTAACACCTTTGTCTTCAGACAACCCTCGGTTTCCAGGGTGTGTTCTTTCTGTTGCACTAAGCAATAAATTCAACTTGTTTAACTCCAGAGACGTTCATTGCCGTCTCTGGCTAGAAAACATTGACAATGCCAGTTGGAATAATGGAAGGATGAAATAATAAATGGAATGTTTGCAATTGCAGGTTGAAGAGGATAAGATTATGGACTAGAAGCTTCTCTCTTTCTCTTTTTCTTTTGCTCTCTTTTATTCTGTCTTTCAGCCTAAACCATATAAACATACAAAATACAGCAGGAGAAAAAAGATGTATGTCTACTCCCTCTCTATAGACTGTCTCTTCATTCCATTCCTAATTGCATCAGGAACCTGAGAGCTCAGTTGCCATCGCCCTCCCATAATACTACAACACGTATCTGTAGTGCACGATGTATAAGAAAAATCAGCTGTCATATAGAGCAGGAGTTCTGCAAAGGTGCAAAAGGCAATTAATTATACATAGGCCATTCCTCAGGGAAAAACCAAAGGGTGTTGCCTCTTTCCAAGTGTATTTCAGTGCCCTCAAGTGCCAGACATTCTTATATCCACTAACTGTAGTCACGAACCAGAATTAAGAATCCAGATCACTAGATAGCTCTTGTCAAGAAAAAAAATATGGAGGTGGTTGGTACCCATCACTTTGGTGGAGAGCGGGAGTTTAAGGGGTGACAGCTTTACAGCCCAAAAGCTAGGAATATTTCAACTGTGAAAGGGAGGAAGGGGGATTGACAAAAATGGCTCTCCTGGGTGCAGCAAATCAAGGGGGCTGCTCCACTGTCAGGGGCACAAGAAGCTAGAATGCTTAGTAATAGAAAAATGCAGAAGCATCTCAAATATTGCAAGCCTGCCTCTGCCAGGCCCGGCCCATGGGAACACGAGGCATGGTTATAAGCCTGATTTTCGCTGTTAGCAGAAAGCTAAAATCATAGCAGAAATCTCAAATTTGATATTAAAAACTTTGTTTTAAATAAGAAAATAAAACAATACCGTTCATTGATTTTTGCTTTGACATCTATAAAGGTGGCAAAGACTAAAAATATTTTGTGTCATAAGGGATTTTATAGTGCTGCTAATATGTTTCATGATTCAGACTAATATAATATCTCAAGTATTTAAAAAATGAATTAAGCTGACATAATATTTTTAATTCCAAATGACAATTTGCAAAACTGTACATCATATTAAAAATTTAGTCTGATAATTCAAACATATGCACAATTCAGTTCTTTCTCAATACAATTTAATGTTAATTTCATTATAAAATATACTAAAATGCTGGGTTTTTCAAACCTGTAAGATTGTTAAACATATCTCCAGTAGCTAAGAAAAATTAACCCATCCCTTTATAATGAAAAGGTTTAGTACAATGTGATAGCAATCCATCAGTAAAGACATGGTTCTCTTGAAAGTCATTATAATGCATCCTGACAACTGGTTTAATTATCAAACATTGCATTCATGAAACATAAATAGAAAGCCTTCCCCTTGAGAGAACAAACTGACCACCCACCCAACTACCATTAAAGTAGTTTATTTTCAAATGCAAAATGCACTTGCTTCATGGGAACTAGCAAAAAATAACATTGTGAAAGAAACTGAAAATAAATAAATAAATAAATAAAAAAGTAGAGACAGTTTTAAGTAAAATCCTATTTGTGTTATCTTCAGTGTACTGACATTTGTATTTAGTCTAGTATCAACATCAGATAATGTCACAACAGATTATATTGTATATGAATGTAAACATTCATTTAGAAATTTTTAAACCTCTTAGTGTGTTTTATATGACTTATATCTAGTTATAGATTATACATGCCTGTTAAGTTGTTAGAAATGGGCTGACTTCAGCCTGAGCAACATAGAGAAACCCCATCTCTACTAAAAAAATACATGGGCGTGGTGGTACAAGCCTGTAATCCCAGCTACTCGGGAGGCTGAGACAGGAGAATTGCATGAACCCAGGAGGCAGAGGTTGTGGTGAGCCAGGACAGTGCCATTGCACTCCAGCCTAGGCAACAAGAGCGAAACTCTGCCTCAAGAAAAAAAGAAAAGAAAAAGAAAAAGAAAGAACGAATAAAGAAATGGGCTGGCTTCACGAAGCTCACGACAGAAATATTGCACTGAAGCAGTTTCTTTAAGATGTTGAAAATTAGGGTATGAATATAACCACTTCAGAAGATGTCAAATATATCGCAATAAATGACACATTAATGGCAAGCTTACATTTTTAGACCTTCATTTTCAGGGCCTATTCATTATTAATATGAGACTGATTAATTTATTTCTTTTTGTCTAGCCAGCAAATCAACCACATCTTAAACATTACATAAAAAGTCACAGCATAGTATTATCTTTAAAAATTATAACTAATATTGAATTCTCAGTTCCATATTTAAACTACAATAGTGGTACAGCAACAAAAAGACATATAAAGAGTAGGCATTCGTATATCCATTTGTATACTTGCTTTCTTATATTTAATTTCCAACTGTATTTTAACTTGTCATTTTTTTCTCCTCTTCAAGTCAGACTCTACTACATTTTGGTCATAGTTGATATAGAGGGGTAGTAAAATGGAATCTTTAAGTTGTTTTTAAAGATCATTTGTTAAATTAATGTAGTAATTTACCCCAAGGGAACCTCTAGCTGCTTGGCTTGGATGCTATTGTGCATATGTACAAAAGTGACGTACAGCTTTCGTCAAGAATCATCAAATTTTAATAAAGAGACAAAAATGTCCCTCACTCAAAGCACTGACCTAAATCAGACATTCACTTGCCATACACTCATATAGTCACCTTAATTATACTACTTCTGAGACGGAGTTTCGCTCGTTACCCAGGCTGGAGTGCAATGGCGCGATCTCGGCTCACCGCAACCTCCGCCTCCTGGGTTCAGGCAATTCTCCTGCCTCAGCCTCCTGAGTAAGTGGGATTACAGGCAAGCGCCTCCATACCCAGCTAATTTTTTGTACTTTTAGTAGAGACGCGGTTTCACCACGTTGACCGGGATGGTCTTGATCTCTTGACCTCGTGATCCACCCGCCTCGGCCTCCCAAAGTGCTGGGATTACAGGCTTGAGCCACCACGCCCTGCCAATTACACTACTTCTAATCATTAAAATGATACCATACTGTCTAGAAGCAGAGAGAATTTCATTTGGTGCCCAAATGAGGAACTTTGCACAAATCTTTACATACTCAGCAAGTAAAGTTACCGTTCACACTGCACACTCATGTAAGAGATACAGATATACATCCCAGAAAGACCTCTCCCTTTTTCCCATGGACAAGACTAATAAATGTGTTAGGAAAAGTCTAGTTTTCCCTTGAAGGACACTTAGTTAACTTGCTGGCCAGTTTCAAAGTCTTCACATTTTCCCCAAAACACAGTACCTTAGAAGATGTTCTTTGTCCGAAGCGGGAGGCAGGGTCATGAAAGGAAATGTCAGTTCCCCCAAAACTATCATTTTGGTTAATAAGAATTGCTGGTGTTGGAACCATACTTAAAAGAAAATTGGAATCAAGCTCCTCTAAGGAAAAGTACTTATGATCTTATTAACCTGAGTATTCATTTATTAAGCAAATATTAAATTTTTGGTTATGCGTAAAATTTGGTCACAGAGATAATGAAATCTTTCAAATCCATATGCTTTGCCCTGGGGAATACATTTATTACCTGCTGTGATGTCACTGGGTAATTTTCCTGGCTGGTAGAGATTCAGCTTAAGTTTTCCATCACTCAGAAGGAGAAGGATACCCCCTGAAACCAGCTGAAGTTCACTGAATAGCAGAAGCCCTGCCTTATTCCAAGTTCGAAATTGAAAAGTGGCAGAAGTCTGGCAGTGCTAAATAACTCCTGGAGCTCAGAAAAGTCACGGGCATAGATTGTGGTTGTGAACAAGAAAATGACACATTTCCCTGAGAATAAAGTAAAAGAAAAAGCTTTCAGAATGTTATTCACATCACATTAGTAACAGAATTTGAAGGCTGCTTTTCAATCTCACATTATCCTCGATTTAAAAAAACAACCACCTGCTATCAACATGACAATCCAAATCACTGCCCTGTTTCTTAAAGGTTCTTCAACCCTTTTCTGTGCTCTTCTCTCCATTTGTCAACTTTAATATAAATTTAAAAGTCAACGAAGTCAATCTTATTTAGAAGTGCACACATTGGAATAAAACATTTGGTCCTGGTCAAACGAAAACATTTGGCTCTATCATGAATCTGTGAAAAGTGAATTCACTTTTATTATAAGAAAATGTGTTGTTCCAATGAAGGAAATAACAAAAGCTAAACAGCAAAACACACTAACCCATATGCTACTCTATAAAGTAAAGTCAATTATAAGACTACCAAGCCTAGAAAAAAAAAATGGAAACATTTTTAACAGCTGTAGATTGGTCTTTTTTTTTTTCTTAGTGATACATAATAGTTATACATACTTACGAGGCACAGGTGATATTTGGTACATACATGTAATGTGTAACGAGCAAATCAGGATAATTGGTACGTCCATCATTTCAAACATTTATCTTTTCTTTGTGTTGAGAACATTGCAAAACTTATCTTGTAGCTACTTTGAAATATACTATAAATCCTTGTTAACTGTAGTCACTCTCCTGCACTACTGAAAACTAGAATTTATTGCCCCTTTCTTTCTAATCATATTTTTGTACCCATTAACCTGCAGTGTGATCTTATGCATCATTTGGACAGCTGCCTGATATCTTACCAGCAGCAAATCCTCTTGCCAAAGAAGACTGAATGGTCCTTGCAGTTTCTAGAAACTTGTGTTATGGAAAAAATACACACATGCATGCATGTAAACATACACACACACGTATCTATAATATTTTTTATTTTCCTTTTACACAATTTCCATTTTATAAAAAACAACTATTTTAAAAGCTTGCTGGTTGTTATGCTCATATAAATACCACCAATTCACACATAATCAGAAATAAAATGCTGTGTAAACAATAAATATACTTGTGGTGTGCTTTGTGTTTTGCCCAAACGTCAGCTTTAATTTACATACTTTGGATCTTAAGCAATGAAAGAAATTCATTCAAAGCCATATGAGTCTGTTTTAGCTAGAAACCATGTTTCCCAGAATCCCCTTACTTGCCTGCTTCTGGGTAAAAGCCAAAACAGAGAGTTTGGGTGATATTTGACAGTTAGAGTTAAAACACCAGCAACACATTTTGCCCCAGAGGTTTTTTCTGTAATCATGTGTGATGAGGGATGGTCACACAGTGGCTGGTTTGTCCCACTCTGTCCTTGCTCTCCTGCGCTATGGCCCATCTCTTCTTCCCGACAGCTGGCCCGGCTGAACAGCAGCAAACCCAGGCCCATCCCGAATGCATGCCTGGGGACCCACAAGGGTAGTGGCTACCCACAGGCAACAACTGCCCGTGCTCTCTTCAACCCTCCTAGCTGAAAACGTCTGTACGCTCCAACACACCTCCACACACCGTTGCTTTAGACAGAATTAATGACTCCTCTGATCCGCGCACTTCCCCTGCCAGGCCATTCGTTTTTTAGCTCCTCTGAAAATTGTTAAGGTCCAAGTCATAAAATAGATGCACTGTTCACAATACTTATAGTGGTGTGCTTTCTCTAACTAAAACCTAACCAAGACAACTATATTTAAATTCTGCCCCATTTCCAGAGAATTCGAATATAATGCCATTTGGACAGATTGGCAGAGGCAATATTGTAACACATCCTATATTTGCTTGTGGTATTAAGATCTCTTGGTGCAGATTTTCTACACATGATATTTCTTACATGCTGTTTTCTCTTCGTCTCTTTATCATGAATGACTAGGGCAAAATACAAGCTTTTCACATGTCTCCCTAATATACATGGATGTTATCTGATTCCAGAAACTCTGTACGCTTATCTGGTAAGTTTGTCAGGGAATATCTTATTTAAAAAATTACAGAGGAGGCTGGGCACAGTGGATCATGCCTGGAATCTCAGTACTTTGGAGGCCAAAGTGGGTGGATCACCTGAGGTCAGGAGTTTGAGACCAGCCTGACCAACATGGAGAAACCCTGTCTCTACTAAATACACAAAAAAATTAGCCAGGTGTGGTGGCAGGCACCGGTAGTCCCAGCTACTCAGGAGGCTGAGATAGGAGAATCACTTGAACCTGGAAGGTGGAGGCTACAGTGAGCCGAGATTGCACCACTGCACCCCAGCCTGGTGACAGAGCAAGAATCTGTCTCTAAAGAAAAAAAAAAATTACTGAGCAAAAGAAATTAGATGACTGCGAGTAATGACATCACAATAAAATTAAAATATCAACCATAAAAACACTGCTTTACTTCATATAAAGACAAAATAATTATGCCCCAAAGTTTTAATTATTTCAGATAGAATCAATCTTTTATATGCATATTGCCAATCAAAGAAAAATACTTAAATAAGAGTAACTCTAAAACATCCTGTTAAATGGGAACCTAAACTGGAGCAATTTTACTGTTTGGAAAAAGAAATAGAGTTTTACTAATGTCTTCATATAAAGACTCTTACCATAGCAATGATCTGTGGTTTTTGTTGCTTGGCCGAATCAATGATATTCACTCCATTATAATAGAGATTTTCTAAGCATCCATGAAAATTTCTCTGTGGGAATGACACTGATTTTCCAGCTGCTGGAATCCCTCCGAAGCTGATCTTAGAAAGAAAAATGGCATCAATAATATTGTTTAGTGATTCTTCTAATAAGTCTGCTTACGTTATTATGATTAGCAAATATAGCTATAATCACCACACACAGATCAATTTTTCATAATCCTACACACAAAAATTAAGATATAGATTAAAACAAATTTATGCACATTTGGCTTTTATTCACACTAGAACTTCATTTTTACAAGTTGCTGATCACATCTGGCTTTGATATCTATTGTTTGATGAAAAATACATCTTTATATCATGGTAAAACTTGATCTGTTTGATACTATGACCAATTATATTTTATTTTAGATACGTTTCTGGCACATACTGGTATTTGTGCATTTGAATCTATTGCTAATGAATTAAGTAATCAGTTTGTGCACTTAAATCTATTGCTAATGAATTAATCAGTTTGTGGCTACATTCCCTTCATAAATCCATACTGCTCACAATTACCCAAGAACACAAAGAAGTCATAGAAAATATCCTGTATTTGTTTGTGGTAGTAAGATCTCTTGGTGCAGAAGATCTCCTATGTGTTATGCTCTGTAACTATATATTTCAGGTAAAAAAGATGATCTTCCTCTATAATAATAAATTTACACGCTGTGAGAAAAATGAAGCTACAAGTTCTACGTGCCCAAAGCTGCTACTTTGAGTTAGGCCGCCTTGGGAAATGCTTCACCTGCTCTATGATTTACTGTAAAAGGTGGGTTCTTTATAGTGTATTTTCCTTTGGGAGATTAAACCACATATGCATAATAAAATCAGGCTTCATTGAAACACAACCATCACACCTCATCATCAAGATTCAGGAAACTGAATTCTCCTTGTGCATGGAAATGATGCCTGTGTTCATCTACCGTAAAGTTGATTAGTTGGCCCAAACGCTGGATGAGCACTGAATGCCAATGCTGATCATCCAGCAGGCTGCCCAGGGTGAGATTGACCAGGGTGGAAGTGGAAGGCAGTTTAGCTTCACCTTAGAAGGGGAAAAAAATAACTGCACCATTACTGCCAGTTTAAAGAAAAAAAAAAAAAAAAGTTTCTCTTTTGTGGACCAGCATCTTTCACGGTAATTGCAATCTCCTTTCATGCATTCCATTTCAAACACCAGGATGGATTTCCCTGAAGTTTGAATATAATAGGCTCTCAATCTTGTTGCAATTTCCTCCACTGTTAATTCTTTGTATCATTATTACCAATTGCATGCTCATTTTCTATGTAAATTTTATCTTTGCTACAATCTCATTATTTTAACCACCTCAACATTTTTCAATGACCCATCTCTTCTTTATGATGTTAGAAAATAGCTATACAGTTCTATCAGCACTATTTAAAAAACACTGAATGAGGATTTTGTGCAATTTACAAAATACAAACCATTTTTACATGAAAGAGCAATATTGGCATATGTACAAGCCCTTGAATCTGATAAGGCACTTTGACTGTTAAAAGATAAGCAATAAAATCATAAAGTTACTTTGGTAACTTTATCAAATTTTTTAGCACTTCACCAAAGAGTTTTACCTGAATTAATAAGTAAAAAGAGTCTTCCTTTTCTTAATTGAAGTGTGATGTGATCTCCATTTGGCCCTTCCCTGTGGAGTAGAACCCCATCACTCTGCATGCTTTTGAATTTCAAAGAAATAATATCTTTTATGGGGCTCAGGGATTTTTGATCAAATCTGTAGAGAAGGAAACTTTTTCCATCAAGATCAACCACTTCTGATCCTAGAAACAAAGATATTAGAAGTCATTCTAAGGATAAATATATTTTTCATTAAAGCAATTTAAATGCATTATAGAGAAAAAGCATTATATATACTCACACACATGCATATACTAATGACACAGTTATATTTTGATAAACCCACCATAAGTTAAAAATACTGTAAGTTGAAAATGCATTTAATACACGTCACCCACCAAACCTCATAGTTTAGCCTAGACTACCTTAAACATACTCAGAACACTTAACATTAGCCTAATGTTGAACAAAATCATCTAACACAAAAACCATTTTATAATAAAGTGTTGAATATCTCATGTAATTTACTGAATACTACACTGAAAGTGAAAGACAGAATGGTTGGGTAGGTACTCGGTCTATGGTTTCTACTGAGTGCGTATTGTCTCTGCACCACTGTAAAGTCAAAAAACCGTAACCTGAATCTTTGTAAGTCAGGGGACTGTCTGTGTAGTCCAGCTCCTGAACAGTCAAAAGTAAAGGAAAATATAACCACCAAACGTCTAAATCCCTATTGACACCTGGGGTTGATTTCATTTTAGTCTTTACTAACCTGTTTATGAAATTCATGATCTAGAAATACATTTTTAAACGTATTCCTAATTTTCTCATATGTCAATAAATATTATATAATTTTCTCATTAAAAATTATATGAGAAAATTATATATTTATATGATATATTTTATAATATATAAATAGAGAGAGAGAGAGAGGCAGGGTCTTGCTCTGTTCCCCAGACTGGAATGTAGTGGCAAAGGCACTATCTCAGCTCGCTGCAGCTTTGACCTCTGAGGCTCAAGAGACCCTCCCACCTCAATCCCCCGAGCAGGGGGAACCACAAGTGTGCACTACCATGCTTGGCTAATTTTATTTTTTAATGGAGATGAGGTCCTCATTAGGTTGCCCAGGCTGGTCTTGAACTCCTGGGTTCAGCCAATCTGTCCACCTCAGCCACCCAAAGTGCTGCAATTACAGGCGTGAGCCACTGTGCCCGGCCATTTTCCCATATTACTAAAGGCTATTTCTTCTTATTCCATTAAACAAAGTTATAATTAATATACATTAAATCACTTTACATATTTCACAATCAGTGTTTTTAATGATATTCTTGAAATTCTGAAGTTAAATTTTTTTTTGGCTCCAGAGAAACTGGTTTTGATATCTCAAAATTCTTTCATCCATACACTATGTTAATGAGATCCATACACAAAGATACACACATAGCATAGACTCATCAAATGCCACTTTTAGTACACGTTAAACTGACCTTTGTGTTTTGTCTTATTTTATTATGTTTGTGGTTAAGTGACAGTGTTTAAGAGCAATATTATTTTCTGTCTTCTGAAGGGCATTGTTGGAAACACCCTGACTTAATGATATTGTAAGGTCTGTTCTGCAGTATTTATGTCGTAACTGTGACACTGACATGTTTTTTTCAACTTTCTGACCGTGTCTTATCTACTTATTGTCAAGATCACTCTTCTACAGTTCATCTGAAAAAAGATGTCATGTTATACTAGTAACATAGCAATACATCTGTCAAAATCAGTTGCACCTGCACAAGAGACATTAAAACTCATAACACTTGGAAATCCTGACAGTACTATCTACATTTCATAAGTCAAAGATATTTTAAGGCAATTACCCTTGAGACTGCATTTATGTAATAAATGAAGAGGCTCAAAAAATACAATGAAATATGAAGCTATTTTACAACTGGTAAGCTGGCTTCTTCCAGTCAACAAAATGACATTCCAGTTTACTCATCTTGTTTCATTTGACAAAATTATTACAGCTACTCGTAAGCCCAAATATGCATTTGATTCCGATCGTTCATCATATTTTATGTGAATCATCTATATACACCACCCTGCAAATTTTTGTCAACTATTTTATGCAGCCATCTTTTGAAGACTCAGAAGTTTTATTTTTTCACATTTTGCTAATGTGCTTATAAAGAATTCATTCACCAAGTGCACATGAATAAAGATTGCATTCTGTAGAAAGAATAATGTTAGCCTAACAATCATTCCTTGTTACATAGCTGAATGAATGTGCATGGTAAAAATATAACTGTGTCAAATACAAATAATGCATCCTATGATTATTAGATTACAATAAATTAAGAAAAATTCCAATAAGACAGACTTTAAAATGCTGACACATTTGGAGCAATGCAGTTATCTCTGAGTTAATGTATCACTTAAAGGCAACTATGACAGTAATGATTTCATTTCAGATAAAGACTATTTTTGAAATTAGCTACCAGGAGAATTTTTCCCATTAAAGGTTTAGCTTGTGTTACTTTAGCCTACTAGTACTTTTTTTTTCTTTTTCACCACTGTTATTATTACATTACAATGATCATATTTATCTTCTGTGGCACCTAAAGCTTTTGTGCCTGGAATATTTCAATCAGCCATGGTATAGAGAAAAACATATTAAACCACTGATGCCTAAAGCAATTGCATACTCTTAAACGGAAGCCACTTATCATTTTCTCTCATTCTTACTGTCTACTTGCTTCACAGGTATACGACTACACAATTCTATGAATTCATTCAATAAAATTTTGTTTGACCCAATGTAGAGTCACTGTGTGAGATTCTAGGATTAAAGAAAGATTCAACACAAATATAGCCCCTGTCCTCACGGTGCTTCCATTTAGTGAAGACAGACAGTATTTAGCAAGTGAACAACTAAGTTCATAAAAGCGTTACAGATTGTAACAGGCATTCTGATCAAGAGTAACAGAAGGCGGGAGTCACTTAAGCTAGTTGATAAAGGGCTCTCTCAGTTCTCAGGTCTAGAAAAACGAGACAAAGGCAGATCTTTATCAGTAATCTTGCCACTCTCTACAGTCTTCAAGTCCTATAACTTGTCTCCATAAACTAGGATTACTCTTGGAACATTTAATTTCAAGAGGCCTAGACATTTTCCCAGCACTGTCCGATTCACTGCCATAAAAGAAAGCTCTGAGGATTGCTGAGAAACTAGAGTGAAAGGAAATAATTTAGTGCTCAGAGTATGAGTAAGATTGGTTCACCTTGAAAAAGAGGGCCTGAAAGGAAGAAGGTACAGAAAGAGGGAAATCAACAAACTATAGTCACATCATAGATTTCCTAAACAGGTAAACAATACCCTTCAGAGAAAAAAGAACAAAGAATAATTCACAACGCAAGTACATTATCAGTACAGAAAAACTTCAAGGGGTATACACATAATATATAGAAATAGAGTCTCATAAAATGAAAAAAATTCTGGGTGATTTTTAACAGCATTATTTTAGATACAACACTCATTGTAGGTCACTTTTTTATAAGCATTTTTTCTAAAAAGTTATTTGCACAAACACATTTCATATATTTTTTAAAGTCATCTTAATTACAAAATACTGAGTTATGCTGAATAAAGTTAATCATATGAAAGCCTGAAAAAAAATGAATCTTTTGAGAGAGAGCGAGGGAGCATTTGAATTCTATATATTACCAGCACCCAGCTGTCCAAAGATGCTGGTGAGAGACAGAAATATAGTTTCTCTTGAAAGTGATCTTACCACTGTTAAGAAAAATTAGAAAAAATAAAAAAAAATTAAAAAATAAAAGGAAATAAAGCAAAGAAATAATTTCATACCTTCTCAATGTCATAGTGGAATATCTTCTAACAGGTAAAGATTATTTAATTCTAGGAGAATTAATACATTCTGATTTTACCATTTATTACTGAATACTAATTAAGGCCAGAATCTATAAAGTTACATGTCATCTGCAGATTTTTGCTCAGTAGAAATGCAAATAGCTTCTGTCTAGTAGAAACTATATCTCCAAAGGTTATGGGTTTATTGTCCTGTTGGATATTAACTTCTTGTATATCTACCTAGTAACATTATTCTAACATGCTTTCCTGCATTCCTATAGATATACTCAATCTCTTCAATTTTCTTTGAAACTAGATTAACCATCCTTTTAACTCTTTCATTAATGAACCAAATACTTCTTTGATATATGTATATTCTGTATTTGAATGAAAGATATGTTTTTATGTTTTTTTAAATTGACTTTAACATCGTTAACTGAAAAAATACATTTGGACTTTACAGCAATGACCAAGAAAGCAACATATCAAATCTTAGCCATCACCAGAATTCATTTTCACTATTCTACAAAGATTTTCAGATATCTGAGCTCTTAAGAAAGCAACAGCAATCCAAACAGACACAAAAATCTAAAATTTCAGAGTGATTTCACAGCAATAGGTCTTTGTATTGGTACTAATCTATAAAAGATCTGAGTAAACAGAATTATTTAAATTAGTACAAATCAATATTTATTTTAGAAACACTAAACTAAGCATCCAAAATAACATTAATATTTAAATTAATAGTCAATATCACATTTATTCCTATCTTTTATAAATACCTTTGGAAAATAATATATATATATATATATATTTTACAGGTCTCCCTCTGTCACCTAGGCTGGAGGGCAGTGGCATAATCTCAGCTCACTGCAGCCCTAAACTCCTGAGCTCAAGTGCACCTCCAACCTCAGCCTCAGCCTTCCAAGTAGAGACTACAGAAATGTGCCACCATGCCCAGCTAACTTTTTGTATTTTTGGCAGAGATGGCATTTCTCCATGTTGCCCAGGCTGGGAAAACAATCTTTTGTACACAGTTGAATTGTATAAATAGGAAAAGTAGAGGTATTAGAAAAGTGACCATAGGAAAAAGGTGAAATCTGAAGTTAACGAAGTTTGTAAAAGACCTATAGTCTAAAGATGTAAGAGGAGACTTGTTGCTTGATTGAAAGGAAGAATAAGAATTATTTCTCTAATTGTGAATTTGTTCATTAGTATGCTTATTAACTGAGGTTTTATATATAGAGATATATATATGTATATATATATGCATAGATATATATGTATATATACACATACACACACATATGTATTATATATATTTTACATTCTGTATTTTTAATGATT